CAAAACAGTACACTACCCCGAATACAAGATACGTTATCCGGACTGATGTGTCTTACTTATCCCTCACTACCTTAGTTGAAGAACCCGATCCTCAGGTAGAGCTTAATATAATGAGTTCAATGTCTTGAGCGCAACCTCGGACACTTTTATGGTGTGATAATAATTTTCGCATTCATCAAATTAAGGAAATATTACACGGCTGAAAGTTTCATAGTACGCTGTAACTGTGCAGAATCTCTTAACGGTATTCAGTAATGAATTTTTTTAGAACACTTGCTTGGCGCGTTACAAACTCTTCGATACCACAACAACAAACAACTAATCGATACCCGAACATGAGTCATATGTGAATTGAGCTGTGTTAAACTATCTACATTGAAATCGAAATCAATACTCAACTTCTATTTCCTACAATTACACTTCAGCCACCGACATGATCTTTTCTGTGCGTAAGCTGTGACCTATGCGAGTGCCCTCTCGTGTCGAGTCAAAGTTTTCTTCCTAGTCCAAGTGCCTAAGAAAAGCAATGTGATCGAATTTTTGCCTCGGAATTCGCCTTTAATGAGAGGTGTTACGGTGTTTAAACTTTCAAACTAAAATATCTGCTATTGGAAGAGTGGTATTTGACTGCATAAAAATATACTTGACAGCATATAAGTAAATTTAATATGTGTGAATTAGAATTGTGTTTCACTCGGATATTAAAATTTCTGAAATTTTTTACCTTTTCCAAAAATTTGAGAACGCAAATCTCATGCTCTCAAAATTAAAAACTTTGGAACATCTCCCTTACTGAAAATCTATGGTCTCAACGCAATCTTAAAATCTATGTTCTCAAAAATGCAATCTTAAACTTTGGTTCTATCAACGAGCAGTAAACCCTCTAAGTTCACTCTCTCTTTTTTCAATATGAAAAGTCGATGGAATTTATTCAAAACAAACCCTCTAGATGACTAATGATAATTCACTTGGTAATTATTTCAGCACGGCATTAATTAAAAACCACACAATTAGAGATTCTTAAATGTCTATTGCACTGACGAGTCTCGGCATCAAGTTCTTAGGAAATCTCAATGAAAATTCTTAGGAAATCTCTCTTCGGAAACGAATGCCTCATCCGTTCATATCCTGTTTCAAATCTTACTGGAAACATCGGCATGTTCTTCAGTTGCAGCGAATTGTCATCACAATCCATTAACAAATTGAATCTGGGAGTGCGATTATTTAAAGTTTTTTATTTAAAAATTAAAAATAATGTCACAAGATATTCATTCGCCTTATTAATCATAAGTCTCCAAGAGCACATAGACAAAATTTCATGGAATGAACGAATTTCGAGGAGTACAAAAAACACGATTCAAATTACCTTCAAGATCGTTTTTTTAATTATAAAACTCAAGCTGGCCAATTATGCGCCAAATTCGAGGAAAATTTCTCTGCCCTGCCCAATTTCAGTTAAATTGACCTGGGAGCCGCAGATGCTCACAGAGGCGCTGTCTCTCAGAGGCGCTGTCTCACAGAGGCGCTGTCTCTCAGAGGCGCTGTCTCACAGAGCGCGTGCTTCAGTTGGGCGCAGTGGCGCGTGTGGCTGATAATGGCCGATGTAGCCGAAGCGAGGTACCCGCATCGCTCACGCAGCTCGTAGAGGTTCTCCAGCAGCGGTGATGGCTGCTCATTACAGAAAATTTGAGCACGATTATCAATGGGCCAAGGAGAAGAAGAATGGACCTAGCATATTCTTTTGCAGACTTATGATGTAACCATTTATATATGGGTTCATTTATAGCTGGAGTTGGGCTGCAACTACTTATTAGGATTAACGCGTTTCTATTAGCAGTGGCAGATAACGTGATCTTGACTCCGAATTCAATTAAAGAACAATTTATCACAAGAAAAATCGTTGATAACAAATAATCTAAAAAGTATAATCCCGGTTATTGTTGAAATAAATTTATACGGGGATTTTCAACGTTTGGGTTCTAATCACACTTTCATAGTAGAACATTGCAAGGCATATTAATGAACTGTAGTGAAATTCCGGAATGATTCCCCCTTTATAACATAATAAGATTTGCTATTACTCACATAAGGCTCAATCTTGCCAGACACCCATTGCCAGTGCAGCGTGTGACGGTCTGATACGCTGATGTTGCGTGAGGCTGAAATTCCTATCCTGCTCTAATTTTCATACCGTTTAACTAATTACATGACTATAATGCATCGCTTCTACTTCATGCATTCATATTAGTCTCCTCCAAAAACTAGAATAATAAAGGCTTAAACGTCTTTATTAATAATCCTGTGTCAATTGGATATTCTCGTCTAGCTTGCAGCTTGCCAATTAATTCAGTATAAACTCCTTCATCTCACAGCCGATCTACTCAAGTGAACAATAAAGTGAACAATACAATGCAAAATAGGTGAACAATACTCATGGCACTGACTCACCGTGACCGGCAAGGCGACCGCTACAAAGCAAAATAGATGAACAATACTCATAAAACCGACTTGCAGTGACTTACCGTTCCTGGCAAGACGTCTCAGTACGAAGAATTATATCATCGATCGGTTGAATCACCGTGACCGGCAAGGCGACCGATACAAAATAAATAGGTGAACAATACTCATGACACCGACTTGCAATGACTTACCGTGGCTGGCAAGACGTCTCAGAACAAAAGTTATTTCATGGACNCCTGCACTCCACGTCCGCATCTTGCCAGGACCGCGCAACGGCGACGCCATGCAGACACTTGCGGCCCACGCGCGAGTAGTTCCGAGGACACGAGTCTGCCATGATGAAATATGTGGCATTTGTCTACGGATACATTAACAGTCGTTAAATATATTCTAAACTCTTCAATACCATTCTAAAGCTTCAGTGATATTCTAAAGTCGTTATATGTTTTCTAAAGGATGATTCAGTATCGATTCAGTATCGATGATTCGGTATCGTGCCACATGCCACATGATGAAGATTAAAATTTTATGCTGAGATATTGCTGATTAATTTCAGTGTATTGAAGTAGGGACATTCAGTCGTGGATCATTTTTACGGCATTGGCTAACCTCGTAGAAGAATAAAAACCTTAGATAGAGAATTGATTTCAAAGAGTTGATAAATCCAACTAACTTGAATTCGACGGAATCGGCGGTGTAGTTGAAGTTCCGTCACAGTCGCGCTCGTCGCTACCGTCGCTACAGTCCGAGTCGTCATCACAGCGCCACAACGCGGGGATGCAGAAGCCTGTTCTCTCGCACCTGAACTGATCCGATCTGCAGGCGCCTGCGAGAAAAAATTGCACCATAATCTGAATAATTATTAATTATCGGACATCATATAAAATCATTCAGCCCCGACATTGCTATGTTATGTTATTTTAAAAGAATCTGGGACGCTATCACGAATCTAGCAAGACGCTGCTGTCAGAGGTTCAATATTGAAGGCTGGAACTAAACACGGTACTGTATGCCACATTAAGAAGGATTCAACATTGTGGACATTTATCAATTGTATATAAAACATTTATTACACATAGTTTGTGTTGTCGTAAAGAGTGCGAGTTGTTTCCATGTGATAATGTTAAATTAAAAATCATCAAAAGTTGAGTCTGTATTAAAATGTTGTTTTCTTGCATCAGCTAAGCTGATCCAGTATTAATAAATTGATTATTCCTTACTTTGTTTATTAGTATGTATTATCAATAAATTAAAGATGCATGTATTTAGCTGCGTGATTGAATTATTACCTGGCTCTCCAAATCGAATAATTATTTGACTCACTGGAGTTTGCGGAAGTGGGTCGTGCAGTGGAAAGTGTGTCACAGTCGCGTTCATCGCTGTTATCGTCACAGTCGTTGTCGCCGTCGCAGCGCCACGACGCGGGCATGCAGAAGCCTGTTCTCTCGCACCTGAACTGATCCGATCTGCAGGCGCCTGCGAGAAAAAAATTGCTCCATAATCTGAATCATCATTAATTATAGGACGTCATACATAATCATAGTCATATCATGAATCTGAGACTCTCTCAGGAATCTAGCAAGACGCTGCTGTGAAGGCTGGAATGGAATACGGTACTATATGCCACATTAAGAAGGATTCAACATTGTGAACGTTTATCTTGGTAATATTGGTGACCTTGGTACTTGTTTCTGACGTAGCAGTCCCAGGCCACGATGGATCGCCGCCTCTAATTATCGTTCATCCGCCCTCATTTGGGCCACCTGATGCACGATGCTGTTGCTTGCTTCTCACCGCTGGTAGTGTTGCAGGGGAGGTCGATCTGGGATTGTGCCCAGGAACACGTCCAGTTGTCTCTTAAAGGTCTCCAGGGTGAACTCCCCCTCTCTTAGATCATTTGGTTGGATGTTAAACAGCCTTGGCCCTGCCAACGAAAGTGCTCCTTCCCGCATGGATTGAAGTCTGACTGCGGATCTGTTACGTAGTGGGGGGATCTTGCACAGTGTCCCCCTTCTCTCGTTGTGATATGTCTTTTAAACTTAATATGTTTCAGTACGCTTATGATTAAATTTAATACAGGTGCGTTCACCCTGAAAGATTTTAAATGCCCTCACCGAGCGTACAGTTGAGTTCATCACTCATGTCGCCGCAATCGTTGTCGCCATCACACTTATAACTCGCACGGATGCAGCGTTTGTTGTTGCATTGAAACTGCGTTGAATTGCACGGGCCTGGAATATTGTTTATTATATATGTCATAATATGTGCATCAATGATAATAGCATATTACCGATGCACAGCATCATCACTGAAATAGGGCATTGTATTAGTATTTATTTGATATTTTATTGAATGGATACAGTTCACTGCACCCTTGCAGAATAAGGTCAACATTTTCGAACAAAATGTCATTATAAACTAGTAACTGTAGTGATCTCGGCAGTATTGTTAGAATAAGATAAAATTTAAACATCTTGCTAACTTAATATTGTACATATTGTCATCCGTAACCCCTTTAAATGTCAGTGACTGGCTATGTGTATAATAATAGAAACAATGGTCAGTAACAACCAAAAATCATAGTCAACTATAACAAACATAATTTGCGAAGTGTTTTATAATACTTTTAAGACCCGATAAGAACAATTCTAAAATTGAACACTAGAACAGCAACCATAGTACAATTTGGTATCTAATGATGGCAACATCTTGAAAGACTTCCGGATTTTCCCGGAGGCCTATTGTGAGCCCATTCATTCTTGCCCTGACGCCAACACGAAAGTCCTCCGATGTGCTTCTCCTTAGTGGTTCTCTATATGTTGTGATATCTATAAACTGGGCCTAAACTCCATATGTAATCTTACATCAATATCACCAATAAACTACCTGAACTCGTCCACGGCCAATTACCCTTCAAGTAGAAGCGTTACTAAGTCCTTCAATTGCGCACATAACTCTAGACCCAAGGCCTCGATACCTATAACTCTGGTACCTTCCGCATTAACATCAATTAGTAACCCCCCGTAACTTACCGCTACCAATAACCTGCCAAAGTTATAACCTACAAAGTAACAACACTGGCAACCAACCTGCCAAATAACTACATGATACAATTCAAATCACATTATTGGAAACTAAAGGACCATGCAACCGATGAAGGGCTAAAACAATGAAGGTGTTTGTCTTTTATATAAACAAAGAAGGACATTTAATATTTATATTCGGTTCTGGTCACTATAGTTTAGCAGACAAATTATATCAGTCATCCACTCTACGTGAACTTGCGCCCACATGTATCATCAGTCATTCACTTTCCTCGCAAGTGATCGCTGATTAGATACGTTTACCCTATTAAACGTGACTCAAACTTAAATTGCTTCAGTATGCTTATCAGCAAATTTAATACAGGAGCGCTCACATTGGAGGATTATAAATACGCTCACCGTGCGTACAGTTGAGTTCATCACTCATGTCGCCGCAATCGTTGTCGCCATCACACGTAAAACTCGCACGGATGCAGCGTTTGTTGTTGCATTGAAACTGCGATGAATCGCACGTGCCTGAAATGTTGTTAATCATATTTTTGCATGAATGGTATTAGCATATTAACGATGCACAGCATCATCACTGAAATGTGTCATTGCATTAATGTATATTTGATTTTTTATAGATAACAAATCATCAATCGGCAATATAGAAAACGTGAGTTGCATCGAAATTTCTATTCATTACGATACAAAAGGTTCGGTGAAAAAAAAGGCAAGAAATTCTGTGGAACCTCTTAGGTTCCTCCTCGTGCATCGATTTCTGCAAAAAGTTCAAATAATTGGTTCACGATAGGTAATTGAGAAAAGTCCTCCTACCAGTAAGGAATGGGTAAAAATTCAGTTATATAATATCTCACAATTTTGTTCATCACTGTAGTCACCGCAATCGTTGTCGTCATCACACTTATCACTCAAGCGGATGCAGCGTTTATTGTTGCATTGAAACTGCAATGCGGTGCAAGTGCCTGAAATGTTGTTTATCATATTTTTGCATGTATGGTATTAGAATATTAGCGATACACAGCATCATCACTGAAATGTGTCATTGAATTAATGTATATTTGATTTTATAAATAACGAATCATCAATCGGCAATATAGAAAGCGTGAGTTGCATCGAAATTTTTATTCATTACGTTAAAAAGGTTCGATGAAAAAAAGGCAAGAAATATAGTGGAACCTCTTAGGTTCCTTCTCGTGCATCGATTTCTGCAAAAAGCTCAAATAATTATAATCGGTTCACGGTAGGTAATTGAGAAAAGTCCTCCTACCAGTTAGGAATGGGTAAAAATTCAGTTACAATATCTCACAATTTTGTTCATCACTCATGTCGCCGCAATCGTTGTCGCCATCACACTTATAACTCGCACGGATGCAGTGTTTGTTGTCGCATTGAAACTGCGATGAATGGCACGTGCCTGAAATATTGTTTATTGTATATTATTTGCGTGACGTGGCTGATGACGACCTGCAGTTTTTAGTAACCAAGGTACAGTTGCGCTCACATATTATCAGTTACAAACTCTTCCTATAGTTTAGCAGACAAATTATATCGGTCATCCACTCTACGTGAACTTGCGCCCACATATCATCAGTCATTCACTTTCCTCGCAAGTGATCGCTGATTAGATACGTTTACCCTATTAAACGTGACTCAAACTTAAATTGCTTCAGTACGCTTATCAGAAAATTTAATACAGGAGCGCTCACCCTGAAAGATTATAAATACGCTCACCGTGCGTACAGTTGCGCTCATCACTCATGTCGCCGCAATCGTTGTCGCCATCACACGTATAACTCGCACGGATGCAGCGTTTGTTGTCGCATTGAAACTGCGTTGAATTGCACGTGCCTGAAATATTGTTTATTATATATGTCTTAATATGTGCATCAATGATAATAGCATATTACCGATGCACAGTATCATGCCTGAAATTGGGCATTGTATTAATTTTTATTTGATATTTTAGACACACCTAACCCTAACTCTAACCCTAAACTAACGAGATTGGCGTTTTTTTTGATGGCCGGTAATGTAGTTCATTTATTTTCGCGTCCGGTTCTTAAGTACAATCTAATTGCAGAGCTTAATCTCACCTGAAGTGGGTGTTAAAGCTGCCGCTGTAGCTGAACTCATCGCAGCGGCAAACAACAGCAGCGTCAATAGCCATTGGCGATTACGAATATCCTGCGGAAACAAATGACACTCAATAATAACACATGCCTGACCACGGTCACGATCGTGACTCGGGGTATAGAATAATACANAAAAATTAGAAAACCGATCGCCATTTAAGTTAAAAAATTTTAATTTATTCAATTTAACATCAGTTATCACGAAAGTGCCTGACATAGTAGGATCGCATAGGTTTACACATGAAATAAACAAGTGAATATGCACTTCTAACGCGGGTTGGAAAGACGTTCGAGTAGCAGCACCTAGACGGAACTGAAGAAAATGTGTCTTGATCAGCTTTATTTACATGCATTTATATACAGCTTATCTGCTGCTGCTGATGCCTGCCGCCGCTGCTGCTGCTGCTGATACCTGCTATTGGCAGCTGCACTGCTATTACCAAAGCTTAAAACTATTACAAAAATATCAGATCTTATAGGTATCAAAACTGGCCATGATTAACTGGCTTACAATGATGATTATTTAATGCGGATTGCAGAAGTTGAAAATTTTATGAAATGACATGTTTGCGAAGTGCAAACCGCAATTTTTAATCAAACAAAAATTTATGACATTCGAGGCTTTGAGCCGCGAGATTTCATACCTACTGAAATTATATGATATTAGAGCCGCGATATTTCACACAAAAATAGGACTTTTCCAGACTAGGGTCAGACTGCATTATCAATATCATGTAGCCTGTAGGTATTCAGTTGCCACTAAAGTAAAGACAAATATTACTGTTGCTGTTTCTAGAGTAAAATTAGAGATTTGGGTAACATGTGCACAGGACAGGACTTCATAAACAAGATTGTGACGTGTAAATGGCTCTTCATGATCATGGCCAAGATATGGAATTCACAGCTCAAAAAACTGAAATCACGGCTGACAAATCCATAAAACCACCAAACCACGGCTAAAAAATTCCAGTTGCAGCTCACCAAGCACCAAGTAGATATATTCCAAGCCTGCAGTGGTGTCTGGTGCAGATTATGGCATTCCAGCTAAAGCATAGATGCCATAGACTATGGCTTCTACTGTATCTCTGACTGAGTAGAGTTATTGCATGCTGACCTCGTGACCTGGTAATCCTGGTTGTGCATTGAGTCATTGACTACGTACATGGCATGGTTTATTTAAGAGTTACATAATTTGTTGGTCACTCACAGGCCACAGCTGCCTCCCTCATGCCTCTCCCTGGTTATGTTATGTTGTCAATGTCATTTTTGTGGGAAAGCAATGAGTTTGTCTGAACTTGGGTTATCTGCCAATTGCCATTGCCATAGCATACCTAGATTAAAAAACAATTCAGTGCCATTTCTTAAATTATTGAACCATTGTTTTATTACAATATGTATGATTTGTTGTATGTTTTACTGCACCTGCAGACTGCAGTGAGAGTGAGTGTATCCATAATCCAGTTCATAATTAAATTCTTTTGTTGTTCATTTTGTCACTGGATGCTAGTGAGTAGTGATCATGCTACAGGTACAACGTACAAGGTGCTCAACACGGCTGAAACCCTGATGTTTTCATTGTTTTGGCTAAAGACAAGCAGCGCTACCTAATTATCTTTATGCAGTGTATATATATTACTGGTGCAGTCACTGCAGTGGTGCGGATTATGGTGATGGTGTTCCAGCATAGACTGTGGCTTCTATCTCAAAGTCCTGAGTACTGTAAAGTCATTGCATGCTGAGCGTTGCTTACCTGGCTTATTTAACAGTTAAATTTGTTCGTCACAGCTGCGGCTGCAGCAGCCCCTTGACTGGGCACCGGTTGTGTTATGTTGTGGGGTAAGGGGAGCGCAGCCGTGCGTCACCACCAATTTTGTGCACCAATAAGCTCTGAATCGAACGCCATGGATCTCTCCGGATATCCACCAATCAGCCGTGAACCAATTGGCTTTGTCTTCCTCCGGGGCCCGGGCTCCGGCCTCGCATAGAACCTGCCGTGCACGGTGCACCACCAGGCCGCGGATCGAATCTGACTTCCTAGTTCCGAGCATCGATAAATTACGTAATTTTACGTTCACCGCATCTGAGGTTAGGTTTCAGATAGCAGAGCTCTGTTCCAAAATTTATCGTTCTTCGACAAGTGGCCGTTCGACCGAGGGTTGGTTAGGGAGCGCAGCCGTGCACCACTAATTTTGTGCACCAATAAGCCCTGAATCGAATGCCTTTAATCTCTCCGGACATCCACCAATCAGCCGTGAACCACTCGGCTTTGTCTTCCTCCGGCCTCGCATAGAACCTGCCGTGCACCACCAGGCCGCGGATCGAATCTGACTTCCGGACATCGTTAAAT